TCTTGGGCAATGAATGTGTCTTTTCTTACCCTGTAAATTACCTGGCATTGTTTTGGGAACCATAAAAACAAACAAGAGACCCTTTCTCATACCAGAAGTGATCTTTCTTTTGGGAACCATAAAAACAAACAAGAGACCCTTTCTCATACCAGAAGTGATCTTTCAAGAGCTGTGGAGAAGACACTAATGAAAACTTACCTGGAAAATAATCAATGTATTACTATAGCTATATGTGATAATTAATAGATCACTCTTTGCACCAACAGCACATAGAATAACTTAATTGTAAGGAGGATGAAGGTAGCACAGGAACTTCTGGACTTTAAAAAGATCTTAACCACTATGTAAAGAAATAATCTTGTAAGAACTTTTACAGGTATCACACTGCCAAACCCAGGGTCCAGAAACATGAATGAATGGCCAGGTCTGAGGAGAATGACCACTTCTCACACTCAGAAGTCCATTGGTGGGACTGCTGCTAAAAAACCATTCTTCTCTGATGAACCCTTAGATTTAAGTTTTCTTTCCCTTTTGACCCAGTACATTTTCATCTTGTAAAGAAGTGTAAAGAAGGCAGGAAAAGATGCATGCTGGAACCTGCTTCTCTCAATGGAAGGTCTCAGCTCAAAACCCAGAAAAATGAGATCTTAAATGAGAGATGAAGAGATCTCCTTAGGAGACTGGAAAATCCATTCTACATTGAAGAGTAAACTTGGTCTCAGAGCATCCATATACAGGACTTTTCACAAGAGTTTATTAAAACATGGGAGTTTTCCTCAGGAAAAGTCATAGGTACCTGATAAAGAAACATGGGGGCTTTTCTGCTTCACATAAGCTACTGCTACCATAACACCTGTAATATTAATAGGCACCAGTTTTCTTTCCCAAGTTACTTGAATGTAAGTAATTTCTAATTCTAAATCATTTACTTTAGAACTTCAAGGGCAGAACTTATCTCTGTAATCCAGCACACAGACTTTCATGACATACATCTGTCTTCAAGCTCAATATATATTATATAAATGTACCTCATGACTTCAGAACCATGTTTACTCAGACAAAAACGTTTGCAATTGCAAATCTCAATAGAAAATAACAACAGAATCCCTTTAGATAATATGGAGAAGCTGCAAATACTTAACCTCAAGATAAGCATAGAAAAATCTTCTTAAAGCCAGAGTAGGCCTTTGGTTTTCTATTTATTGGATTTTTAGCAAGATAAGCATGGCTAGCACTGCAAGCAGCTACAGCCTCCAACTTGAGAGTCACTTTGTGTTCCTGCTGTCAGACATGAAAGATTCTTCTCCTCTCACTAACTCGATAAAAATCAGAAGTTGTATTAGTACAATCCAAACACAATGGAACAGTATTTCCAAACCCTTCCTGTGGAGAACAGGGATGCTACCATAAAAACAAACAAACAAACAAACAAACAAACAAACAAACACCACCTGACACTGGTATATTTATCAGAACATTTAAATAATAGTTACCTAAAAGAATTTGGGTTTACTGTTGTTTTACACAGATAGTCAAAAACAGGCTCAACAGTTCAGACAGATGGGCACACACAGGTTAAGACTCAACTTGCTTGATTAGGCAGACCATGCACTATTTTTCAGGGCAGTACTACAGAGTCCAAGAAAGATCCTGCTAGTCTTCTCACCCAAGGATACAGCAGATGTACCAAGTCCAGCTGTAAATATTTGATTGCATTCTGTGACAAGCAAAACACATGCTGAAATCTTATGGTAGAGTAAATAATGAATACATCTCAGCTTTCAAGAAAGCACTGTCCAGTAAGGAAGGGGGGGAAATCAAATGGCAGCATTCTTACAACTGCAGGTAAGATACTCTGAAACTTAAAATAAACTTTAAAAACCAAATATTTTTGTATCTGTTAATTTTATGAGTAAATCTCTGTGTTCCAGACTAACTTGCAACTATGTTAACTGAGACACCAGTATTTCACACAAGTTATTAAATCATCCACAAGTGCTTTCCTTGTCTATCAAGCATTCTTAAAACTTTGTCTCTCCACAAAAGCAGACAGACTAGTTATTGGTTCAGCTAATTGAGTCTATTTAGTGTTAAACATGACATATTTGGTGTAACCAGACAACTTGCAACTTCAGCAAGAACAAAAATAATTATTAGTTCAGGCAAAAGGCATAAGTAATACAAATAATCTGAATTGCAAATATTAATAAACAAGCCTTCTGTGCTCTTTGTCCCTAACAATTACTCTTTTCAGGTAAGACAGTACAGGTACATATGCTCTATCACTTGACCTGCAATGTGACAACAGTGTCTTAATTTACCAGATCCCTCAGCCTGACAGGGAAATCAGAACCCAGCAACAAACTCTTTCAAGTGTTTTCACCAACAATGGAATTTTTACCCCTCCAGAGTCAATGGCAAAACACTGCATTGGCCACTTCATAATTGTTCATTTTCCATTGCTGTGAAATATGCTTGGCCATACTTTATAACTATTTGTTATGTGCTTTGATATGAATGTATGCTGATGAAATATTAAATAACCTTAAGATTTCAAAAGTATGTACTTAACATGAGACAAACTTTCTTACTAAGCAAAAAGTTCAGGATGTGACAGAAAACATCGAGTCTTGTTAGACAGCAGAAGAGTTTATTTGAACTGTGACAAACATAATGCAAAACTAGCTTTCCCTGTCATCTTAAAAGATTGAGAGAGAATGGGTTTTAGAAATACCTGGTGAATTAATTTCTAAAATGAACCAATTCATTTCTGCAATAAACATTTGTCCTGTCTGAACACAGACTGATGTGCAAATAGCAGTATACCCTGATTTTATTTTTCCTTCATCAAACACAACTTTATGCTGTAATTTAAACATTCAGACAGTCACAGAATTCTATTACACAACAGAACTCAAGAGTATTTTCTCAGGGTTTTTAATTATGACAATAATAATCATAATGCACACATAACTCAGCAATAAGGCCATGTAATATTCCATGACCTTAGAAATTAGAAATGCTAGAAGGGTGTTGCTAAGACAACTTTTTTTTTTTTTTTTAATGTTATACTATTTTGATTCACTTACTCGGGGTCTTACTATACCTCAAAATTTTGATTCAATAGTGAACTTACTTATCAGTGAAACTCTTAAGACTTTAAAGAATTGAGGTTTCCATTTCTTTTTAGGTTTCCAAGTACTTTTGCACTGAAAATATCTTCTTGCTGATCACTTCATTTCAAAAATTTTTCACAACCTTTACATGTTTCAGATTTTTGGCTTTTGTTACACACAATGTACTTTGAGAGCACAATGTCCCCCTGAAGTCAACTGTCATACTGTGGATTCTGATCTCCACAAATTTAATTCACTAATGTCATTCCCTGCACTCATAAACTATTCCTGTAAAACTGTTTCTCCTTCAGTGGGGAATTAAACCTTGCTCTTGTAACAAGGATTCAAAACAACAGCAAAACATTGTATTTCTACACTAACTCTGTGTTTAAAACAGAACAGACAAAAAGACTGCAGCAATTATACTTGCAAGAGTGACTTCGCTTTTCATTTGAGGAATATGCTTTACCAAGTTGGTTGACTTTAACATTCTGCAGGTGGAAAACTTCCTTATGACTTTGTTCCTCTCTCTGACACTTTTTTCCCCCCATTAATTATGACTAATGATCAATGTAGCCAGGACATAACTGTGCAAAATTGCCAAAGCTCCTTTAGCTTTTAGCCTCATAATTTAACCACCAGGTACAGGGTATTAAGGTGTCGTTGGTCTGCAAGTAAATTACACTGAACAGTTCTAATTGTGTTCATGGTGCATTTACAATGTAAGTTATTGTTAGCAACAAATAAGGCAGCATCAGCTTATATACTGTATGAAGCAGAGATATTATCAAATTATGACAACAGAAAATGGAAAATGGTCACTTAGCTGCTTCATTTCCATACTTCCAAATTTGTGTTTTTAAGACAGAAATGGCAATGGCAGTCTAACTTTACTTTTATCTGTAAAAATATTTTTCTGCAGTAACTAGACAGTATTTCTAAAAGACCTGGAAAACACTCAAGAAAAGAGGTTTCAGAGTTGCATCATAAGCAAGTTACACTCCCTCTTTAGACTACATGGCTGGCTCAAAGGAATGATAAACTCACAAGTGGTCAGCCTCCTAAGGACTTCCTCAGTAAAAATAAAATTTTTAGATTCAGAGGAGCTGACACAGCAGAAAGACCCCAAATTCCATTCTAACTCAAGAATGCATTTCTACATTTCTGAAGTGCTCCATTTACATTATAAGAATGGAGAAACAGGAACATACATGTTGCAATGTTTTGAACACTAACTTCTACAACTACTTATAAAATTATTATTAGTCTTGCAGGCAAAAAAAATCTCTGCTATGTTTTGAACTAAGTCTCAAAGGCACCAAAACTGGTGGAATACTTTTGCCTTTTATTCCTCCCATTCTCTTGAACGAGATGATTTTGCATTTAACTTGTTCTGTGATGCTTAAGTGTTTATTACACACTGATAAAAAATACTTCCTTCAGGATACAAAAATACCTGAAGAACTGTCAGACTTGAAGTCAGTACAGTCCTGACAGAAGCCAGGTGATCAATTCCATCTATCTAATAGCCTCTTCTTTAGCACCAACAAGAGCACAGCTATCTGAACAGGACACACCTGGGCTTTCCTTCACCCTGAGACTTTGTGAGCAGCCTGATGTGTCTGTGGGGTACCAACAGAAAAACATTCTCCATTCTGCATTAACACATGGGAAGACACTTTTGATCTCCTAGATGGCTCCCAGGGGTTTTTCATATGGTTCTGGGCAACCACCAAATTGGGAAGTCCTAATTCCCCAGACAACTGAGAGTTACTTAAGTTTGATGGACAGCTGCATTTTTGAGTCCCTGTAGTGCAGAAATACTTCTCTATCACATTTACACATACAATTACTAAAAGCATGAAAAAGAAACGCAAAACTTACATAGTCATGAAATGCTTTTGCTTCACTTGAATGCTCACATGTTTCTCGTCTTTCTGGAGCTGCACAGTAGAGATCCCAAAACACACTGCAAAAAGTTACAGAGATGGTGAGAAAACAATTGTAACAGCGGGGTAGATTTTACGGTGTACTCACACCACACATGCACACTCATACACAGCAACAGACATATCACTTCCTCGCCAAGAGATGAAAACACCTTTAAGAAAGAATTCAGCTTTGTAAAACATTTATGAGGAATCAAGTCCTGCTACCCAATTCTCCATGGCAAGCAGTGGTGTATTCCTTTATGTCACTGTAGTACAGACCAAGAAGCTGTTCTAATGTACAAGGTTTAAGGGTACAGAGCATCGTACTGACACTCTGCATTTAACCTCATTCCTGTGTTAACTGTTGCAATTAAACTCCACAAAGCATGGGAAGGGATAGACTCGTGGTAACATAAAAAGGCAAAAAAAACTGAGAGAAAACTGGGAGCTCTCCCAAGGTCCAATAATGTGCTTTAAACAAAATTCCTCAGAGCAACATGTGTATGGAAAAGAGTAGAAAATAGATGGGTATGTTCTCAGGTTACAAAGAGTGAGAAGAAATTATGATACTTCCATGAGTCTTCCCCTCCAGCCCTCTTCAAAAAGAGTTATATATTAATCTGTTTTAATAAAGTTTCTGGAATAAAATTATGTGTATGCAAACACAGTTAAAAGAACAAATTTTGTTTGGCTTTTCATAGTGTTTGTTTATTGTTTTAAACTTAATCCTCTGTAACTTAGTCCAGCACTGTAACAAGGTAGTGTGGAAAATTTGAGCACTATGCTGCAGATGATCAGAATTAAGGATAATGCAGACATCAGACACGTAAGGAACACATTCTGCTTGCCAGGCTTCCATCTCATCACTGAAAGCTATAAAAGAAAGGTCAATGAAGAACATACCACCTTCCAAGCAGCTGTACAAATTACTTGGGTTTGAATGAGACCAGTTTAAAATTCCTGCATTCTTGTACTCCTGACAGTTGGAAATATGTCTGTATTTTGTACTCTTTCAAATACAAGAGTACTGATGTATTAAAATCACATGACAAATAATGGCTAAATACAAGTGACTATGAGCACTCTTTTCTCCTTGGGAATTCTACACACACAAACGTGTCCCTGCACACTACTATATACAAGCAAATAGTATCATGCATAAAAAATTACAAGTCAACCCCGTGTCTACCTGTATTCTGAGCTGAGAGAAACTGCAAAAGCAGACACTGCAGCACCAAGCCCATGCTAATGCATACTGCCTCTCAAAAAGGCTGGTAGGATGGGTTCAGCGTATTATTTTTATATACTATTCCTGTGATTAGAATGTGGACTGAAGACTGAGAAAGCTAATCTCTACATGCAAAGTCTCTCTATATACTGTTTTTTTTTCAAATGCAGCTATTTGAGATATGTAGAATGATCTCTTAAATGTATCATTTAATGGAAGGTGGTGAAGAAAGAAATGCAGGCCATTTTCTTTTGAAAATGTTTCCTCATCAATGCACTATGCAATATTTCTTTCCTGTGTCTAATATCTGTTCTGTATCTAACTTTCTGTTCTTTCATTTCTTAACAAGAAAATAGGTCTTGATCCTCATCTTCACATTCCTTTTACACCTAAATTTCTTGCCTCGAGCCCCTGGAACTAGCAGTTGACATATTCTAACTATCAGAGGAAAAGAAAATTGCTACTTACCACCACCAGGAATGCAAGAATCCTGGGGGCTCCCCCAGTGTGATGTTTTTTTCCCATCTTATCTAAAAAAAATAAAATAAAAACAGAGGTGTACATTTTTGTGATCTGACTAAAACACATTAACATAAGTCATGCAGACAGCAAAAAGAGAAAGAAGAAAATATTTCATAGTTACGAAAGGCTTTATCATTATCAATCCAGATGGCCATATAACTTACTTCATTACACTTATTAGTATAGCTGATACTTCAAAGTGGCTTTTCTTTTTCTAGGATCTGAATACATTTTTACTGATTATGTACTTTGTATCACTGCAGCACTGAGACGTGTATTATTTTAAGGGGGAAAAAAAGTGTTAAAGAGTTGAAACGATCTAAAATCTTTTCCAGTCTTCATGAAGGAAAACACAGAAAACACATCAGAACTAGTGTTACTGATTCAGCAGGTGGCAGTCTTCCCTCCACATCCACAGCCAGCCCGTGTTTTGTAATCCTCAAGGCGTGCTTTGCTGTTGGAGGTAATGTGGCAACGAGGAGCAGCATCAGCCTTACCACCCAGCCTCCCACACTCTGTGAAAATGTAAAGCTAGTTTGGCTTCATCTGCCTGCGCTGGCAACCCCTCCTGAACAGCAATCCTAGCTCTCACTTCTTTTTCACCCAGGAAGCTGGGTGTTTAACGCTGTTTTCAAAGGAAATGCAGTTTAAGAATCCTTATTTCACTTGACTTCACTCTCATCTTGCTGATCAGCAAACCCACAGGACAACCCAACACACGGTGACAGCATTCTGTCTCCCTGCAACACTTCCCAAATGTATCTTAACTATGATCACACGACCATTTCTGTAATGCCATAGTCATTAGGTTGTCCCTAACTGCAAAATGATATAGTTTAGACTATAATAAAGCCTATATAAACTCCTTAAGCAGCTCTGCTGCAATTAACTGGAGGTCTTACAGAAACCTACACAACGCCAAATAGAAGAATGCCTCATGTTAAAACTGGGTGGAAACAAGGGCGTTGCATGCACTCCAAACTCCTCCAGTTACAACGACTCAGCATTATTTCCTGTCCAATTTTGTTTAAACAAAAAATGTTTAAACACAAACCACATTACGCTCTAGAGACAGAAGTAATGGCAGATAAAAAGAGGATTATTTTAATGAAATGCTTTAAGTCTTAGTATGAAAGGTATCTAAAGATATATATAAAAAGCTACATAAAATCTTTCTATAAAAGGCACATACAGTGTTCACACTGCCAGAGGAGCTGGAATTTTCCAACAGACTAGAACTTTGATTCTCAACCACGACTTGATTTCCACATCAAATTCTTATGATATTTAAACACATAAAAGTTTTATGAAAACCTTCCAGAAGTAGCTTGTACATCCAATAATGTTATTTGCATTCATAAAAGGTAACCTAGCATAATTTTGATACATTATATGAATACCACTATTCAAAAATAATTTTCCTATTTTAAAATTACTTTTAAGAGGTAACCTTGAAGCTATTGATGACTCCTGAAACAAAGCAAATTTGCAGACCAAATTATAAGAGTTAGAGCCAACAAACTGAAGAGGTCTACCAAGAGATCCAGGAAAATGCTACATGACCTTGAAGTCCTATGTTTTAGAGAGGAAGGCAACAAAGCCTTTAAGACTGTTTTCAACAAGGATCATGAAGCACAGTTCACCCTTTAACTGAAAGATCAGCAGAGGACTTCTAGCCCTTACTGACTCAGAATCATGGAATCACAGAACACCTCAGATTGGCAGGGACCTTGAAAGATCATCTGCTACAGCCCTTTCTGGGAAAGGGAGCCTAGATGAAACTACCTAGCACCCTGTCCAGATGGATATTGAAAACCTCCAGTGATGGGGACTCCACTTCATCCCTGAGGAGGTTGTTCCAGTGAATGATTCTTCTCATAATCTTTTATTTCTTGTATCAAAACTATACTCCTCCCTGAGCAACTTGTACCCAGACTTGTCTTCCCTATGTGGCTCCTTAAAATGGGGGAGCTCTGTCCTCTTTGTAGTCATCCTTTAAGTGAAAAATGGGGATGAGGTCCTTCCTGAGCCTTCTCCTCCCCAGGGAGTGAAGACCTAACTCCTTCATTCTTTCCTCAAAGGGCAGATTCTCCAACCTTCTACTTGTCCATCAGTTCTATTAAATTCAAACTTGAAACAAAGCATTAAAAAAAATACAAGAATGCTTAAGACAACTATCTCTAAGTTATCCAGAAGCACAGTGGATTCCATTTTCCTTTTCTGGATTCTGTTCCATTAATGTTAGCCAGGTACCCTGGTAGACCTTTAGGGCAGGCTCCTAACTTTTGTCCTTTGTCCAATACAACTGACCAAAGTAAGGCTCACACAATCTATGTATGGTTACTTCTTTTTAGTTTTAGAACTGCTCTGAACTTTTTCATCTTTAACAAGACCCATATAAACTACTGTGGCAGGTCCACACTGCCAGAGCAGAGAGGGCACTGAGACCAAACAATCATGTTTTTTAAGGAGGGACTAAACCAACACAAATTTCCTCCTGTGGCACCTGGGTGTCTTTTACACCTGAAGTACTCCCAGAACAAGCTTGACACAACAGGGCAGTTGCTTCTGAACAGGCATGAGCCAGACATGGACAAAAATGCATGGAAAGTTGTAGCTTTTATTATATCATAAACTGGCTGTAGAGTTTTTTGCACTTCTCTCAACTGATAATTCTCTTGCTTTCATCCCTTATGCCGATAATCGGGCTCTTAAGAAACAGCTGACTCACATGGGGTACAGAGTCAAGGAAGGGCTATTTGTTGTGTACAGCCCAGGACTGGATGGGCTTTACAATGCTAAGATCTGTCTACCACACAATCAACTACCTTTCTTTTTTTCTTTCATTTTAATTTTTTTTTCCTGCTGCTTTTACTAGTTGCCATTTAACTTGTGCTCAGTTTATTTTCTCCAAGTAGTGAACAGTTTTCTCAGTCTGAACCTGTCTGCCCAAAACCATTTTTTTCCAGCTTTCTCCATATCAGTGATAATCATTCACAAGTACTGTCACCACAGAATTTACTCTTCTCCTCTGCTGGTTAATGAAGTAAATAAACTCACAGTTTTGTGTGAAATCTAACAGACACCTCATACCAACTCAATATATTATTATTTGTCCCTGCCCCAGGTTTACCATCTTTTGGCTAGTATCAGTCTTAATTAGAAAGATTCGCTGTATTACTACATTCATTCAGAACTGAGAGTTTCCCTATAACACAAGATTGAATTAGTTGCAAAAACTAAGTTTCAAGACATTGTATTGAATGTTTTCTATAAATCCAAATGTCATACCAGTTATACTTCTGTCAACTGCTCATTTTACAAGTATATCATAAAGACAAAATGAGCAAAATTAATCTTGTGCAGTGTAGTATTTACAAGTGACAGCTGTTTTGGGAAAGCCAAAATTATACTCCCTATTATTTTGTCTCTTATTTTTCCATTGCTTTACGAATGAGAAAAAAAACAATTGTCAGAAACACAGTTTACTATAAACATAATATGATACTACCACAATTCTACCCATTTTTCTTATCTCTGCTACGTGAATTTTCTATAAATGTCACAAACAACATTCTGAGTTCTCATCCCCCCTCCCCCGCCATCACCTCCAAAATGTCATGACCAGTATAGTAATTTCATTAGCTTTTGAAGGAGAATCAGTTGAAGCAGCAAATTTTCCTAGAACAACAACTTGCCTATTTTTCCTTCACTTCTGCTCACCATTCAACTACCATTATTAACTCAAATGTTCTCAACAAAGGAAGATTAAAAACCAGTAATAAATCCAAAAGACCTCAATATGTTTGGCATGCAGGTATTTTTGTATCCTAGAGTTAAGTGCAAAATGCTAAGGAGACATAATTTACTCCAATCTTCAAAAGACAAATACAAAGTCTTTGAAAAACTAGGAAAAAATAGTAACTATTATGTAAAGGTAAGAATTCCATTAGCAGTTGAAAGTGTTTAAGAAACAGGACCTAAATGGTTGTAGTCATAATTGATTCACCAGATGAAAAGAAGTGGTTAGAAGCATTGTAAGAATACACAGAGAGACCAGCAGTATTTAAGAAAATGAGAACTTGAAGTGTGTGACAGTGGGATGTAAAATACATTCTGGAAAGGCACATCATTCACAATTAGATGTATGAACAATAAAAAGGTTGAGGAAAAAGAGTGCTGTTGCATTCTCTAACATGCACATTTATTACAGCAAAAACAGGTATGCAAAGGCATGTTAAATGATGTGGCAAACTGATTTCTACAGAATCAGAAGTCTATGCTGATCAATGTAAGCAGAAATTCAAGGCTGTCACTGCTGTATATTTATTTCACTTGCACACACTGGCAAGTCAAGTAAGGAAAAAAAGGATGGGGAAACATACCTCTGATAAAAACGTCTGGGCTGACTTCTGTGCTCCTACATGGAGCAGGTATTCATATACGTACAGTGCTAATCTGTAAAATAAACAAAAAAGACAATGTTAAATATTGTGCATTTGTTTGTTCCTCTTCCTCAGAAACAAAGGATTATCAGAAGTTTGAGGTGCACTCTTTGTCTACTACCTACAGCAGATATTTTAAACTACACAGATCAATCTGAGCAAAGGTGCTTAAATAGTAGTTAATTAAATATTATTAAATCCCCAAATTACTTATGTCAACATTTTTAACAATATTGGGGCAAATGCCCAGTGAGCTCACAACTGACCTACTGCTGTTCTACATTTGCCCACTCTATACTGTAAATATGATACACAGGTACAGCAGCACTGTACCTCATTATTTTTCCAGATAAAATTTTTTTAGGTGAGAAATGTGTCAAGCTGTTAGTACACTTTAACAATAGCCTGTATTTATTCAAAGAACATGCAACCTTTGGGCTGCATCAGCTAAAGTAATTCCAGCTTCCATCCATGGCAGGCAGCACAACCACACCTCTACCAAAGTACAGAGTTTTAGATTATTTCAAACTCATTAATCTAGACAACTCATTAATCCAATGACAACAGCTAGAAATGACTCTCACAGCTCCCAGAGGAGCTTCCCAAAAAGGGATTTTAAGCATCAAAACACATCTCCAACTAAGTTCAAAGGCCTGGAATAAGGATCTCACTGCAGAAGGAGGACTCATTCCCTGGATGATTATCACTGGAACTCGGGGTGGGAAGCTTGCTCAGCAACCCAAGAACAGGGGAGCTGTAGCACCAACCAATTTCTATTGATATGGGCTATGTAGGCTAGATTTGAATCAGAAAACCGAAGAAGTAACACTTCCTATTCCTCAGCTGACTCTCCAGAGAGGCTTCCGTCTGTCTGCATGCTTCAGATAATTTAAAATGAAATCTCATTTTAAAAATTATTTAATAATAATGCTTGGAAATTGTCTAGAAAACATCAGTCCAAAAAAAGAAAGGTAGGCTGTGAGTCTTTTAAATTTTAAGAAGCAAAATGTATTTGCATGCAATTCATGATACACCACTATTCTTATCTGAAACTTGTAATTATTCATATTAAAAAATATGTAGTTTAACTGATTAAAGCAGAGAAGCAGAGAATGTCTATTTTTCTGTTACTCTTCAAAATATTATGCAATATGAAATAACTGTCATAATGGCACTGACAGAGCAATAAGTATTGCAGTAACCTGTTAAGTGTGAAATTTTAAAATCTAGGAGAGGCATTCCGTAAAAATTCTGTTCATTAGTTGTGTGCATTAATGAAACACATGCACTTCTTTACTCTTTCTGCAACTTCAAAAGCAAAAATATGTTTGTTTGTTTTTCTCAAATTAAAAACAAATTGATATTCAGACAGCGACTGGTTTTAGTTTGAACCCTGAGAACAGTAATATCCACTTTAAATTCCAGTATTTTATAAAAAGTTACATATTTGTTTTGTGCCATATCAACAAACACAGAGCTTATGTGCTGCCCAGAAAGCACTTAGTTCTGATGGAGCACTGCACATCCAGTGCTGAACTGTGAAGCAGCCCAGAGAGGACACAGTGATAAGCCTCTGAAAGCACTGGGGAGAGACAGAGGATGTACTTTCTGGCCTCTCATCCCAAAACTGCAACTGGCAAAAAAATAAAATAAAATAAATCACATCTTGTTTGTGAAATTCTTCCCAGTTCAACCACCATACAGGTTTTAAGCAATTAATGTTGCAGATAAATTCTAAGACCTAAGAAAGATGTAAAAGGCAGAGAGGAAGCACTTTCTGTAACAGCCACGATGACTTGAATACCCAGTAAAGCTTTAAAGTATCTCATTTATCTTCCGAGATTCCCTTTTTTGTTCTTATCAAAACATGAAGCCTGCAGTCCAGACAAAAGGATTTACGTGATCATATCCCTTCTACCCCGCAAAGAAATGAAAAAGCGCAAAACCCAGGAATTTATTGTGAGTGCACCACCCTCATAAGTCTGTCATCTGTTGAAAGCTTTAGCAAATACTGCACCATGATACCCAAACTGACACCACAATACTTTAATATCAAGAAAGATTTGTGAATCTTATTCTCAGGACTCCTGGAGTCCACCTGCAAACTGTGGCACCCGCAGCTGTGCTCTGGCACAAGCAAACTTCACTACCCTGTGCTCATCTTTTGCCGGTCAAAAAATACCAGGATATTTCAACCCTGAAAAACAGACAGCCCTAAAACTTTGACCCAGAATGTGCTCATTAGGCATAATTGAAACATCACAAGCAGCACGGCCAGCAGCTTGAAGGAGGTGATTCTCTCAAGTCACCAACACAAGAAGGACATAGAACTGTTGGAGGTCCAGAGGAGGGCCACAAAAATTACCAGTGGGTTGTAACACCTTCCCTTTGAAAAAAGGCTGGGAGAGTTGGGAGATACTCACTGTGAAGAAGGGTCTGGGGAGACCTTATAAAGGCCTTCCAGTACCTGACTTGTGACTACAAGTAAGAATTTTTTAGCAGGTCCTGTAGTGATAGGACATGGGGCAATGGTTTTAAACTGAAAAAGGTTAGATTTATATTGGCATTAGGAAGAAATTTTTTGCAAAAAACCCAGGAAACACTAGCACAGGTTGCCCAGAGAGGTGGTAGATGCCCCATCCCTGGAACCATTCAAGGTGAGGTTGGACAGGGCTCTGAGTAACCAGATCTAGTTGAAGATGTCCCTGCTTACTGCAGGGGGGGTTGGACTAGATGGTCTTTAATGGTCCCTTCGAAACCAAACAATTCTATGATCTCCAACTCCATGACATTCATTATTACATCAGAAACATACGAGCTCTGAAATTAAATGATGAAACAACTGTGTCTATTAACTGTGGTGTATTCACATGGCAGATTTCAGGAAAATAATAAATGTTGCAGGTTTTAGTTTTCCAAGCTGATCCAACTTTGGCAAATTAAAGAGCAGGACCACACTGGCAAGGGGCCTGACTGCCTCCTGTGACAGGAAAGCCCAGACCACCTTCCCCAAACAGATGGGAGGCAGAAGGCACAACACAAAATAATCTGATTGGGTCTTATTAGATGTAAATCATTGGTCCATCCCTAGTTATTATGCTGTCAGGAAGTCTTTCCAGAAGTTAACAACATTATAGCTTCATTCGGAAATAAATACATTTACCACAGAGATCAAAAGAAAGATACTAATGTTTTACTGCTACAGTTGCAACAAAAAGATCAATGGAAACTGAATACAAGTAGCTACAGTCAAAGTGTGGAAGAGAAGAGGAGAGGAGCAGGGAGAAGAGGAAAGAGAAAGGAAGAAGGGGAACGGGAAAGGGAAGAAAAGAAAATGGGAAAGAAAATGGGAATGGGAGGAAAGGGGAGGAGAGGAGAGGAGAGGAGAAGGGGAAAGGGAAGGGGAAGGGGAAGGGAAGGAAGGGAAAGGAAGGGAAAGGAAGGGAAAGGAAGGGAAAGGAAGGGAAAGGAAGGGAAAGGAAGGGAAAGGAAGGGAAAGGAAGGGAAAGGAAGGGAAAGGAAGGGAAAGGAAGGGAAAGGAAGGGAAAGGAAGGGAAAGGAAGGGAAAGGAAGGGAAAGGAAGGGAAAGGAAGGGAAAGGAAGGGAAAGGAAGGGAAAGGAAAGGAAAGGAAAGGAAAGGAAAGGAAAGGAAAGGAAAGGAAAGGAAAGGAAAGGAAAGGAAAGGAAAGGAAAGGAAAGGAAAGGAAAGGAAAGGAAAGGAAAGGAAAGGAAAGGAAAGGAAAGGAAAGGAAAGGAAAGGAAAGGAAAGGAAAGGAAAGGAAAGGAAAGGAAAGGAAAGGAAAGGAAAGGAAAGGAAAGGAAAGGAAAGGAAAGGAAAGGAAAGGAAAGGAAAGGAAAGGAAAGGAAAGGAAAGGAAAGGAAAGGAAAGGAAAGGAAAGGAAAGGAAAGGAAAGGAAAGGAAAGGAAAGGAAAGGAAAGGAAAGGAAAGGAAAGGAAAGGAAAGGAAAGGAAAGGAAAGGAAAGGAAAGGAAAGGAAAGGAAAGGAAAGGAAAGGAAAGGAAAGGAAAGGAAAGGAAAGGAAAGGAAAGGAAAGGAAAGGAAAGGAAAGGAAAGGAAAGGAAAGGAAAGGAAAGGAAAGGAAAGGAAAGGAAAGGAAAGGAAAGGAAAGGAAAGGAAAGGAAAGGAAAGGAAAGGAAAGGAAAGGAAAGGAAAGGAAAGGAAAGGAAAGGAAAGGAAAGGAAAGGAAAGGAAAGGAAAGGAAAGGAAAGGAAAGGAAAGGAAAGGAAAGGAAAGGATTGTCTAGGACACCAAAGGACTTGGGTTTTAAGTGGAATTCTAAAAGATTGTTTTTACTCATTAAACTGGTGTGAGAACCCATGTTAAAGCAGCAAGGAGACATATGTTAAATTTTCACATTTGCATACTTGTTGACATTCCATGAGTAATGTGAGGAAAAAATATTTCCAATCAATTGGAAGTAATTGGAAGCTGAAGTAATTTTAGTAAAAGACATGCCATAGGCCAGAGTTTCCCCCTTCCCGATAAGTCAATTAGATCCCACCTCCATCTATGGCTTGATGGTACATTTACTCTATTTTCAAAGAAATAAATAAATGAATGAATACATTAATAAAAAAGCAAACAAATAAATAAATAAAAAGGTCACTGTCTAGCTCTTGCTGCTGCAGTGCTCATTCATACTTCCTACAAGTATCTACTGAACTCCAAAGAGAAGAATCATTTAACAGATTCTCGTCAACCATTTATCAGAATATGACCAGGAAATACACAGTAATCACTCTAACTGGGCTGTGGATATTGCCTTCTTGCACGTTAAAGGTGGAAGACACAATTAGTTTAACGAGAACTTAGAACCAAAGCATTGCAGCAGTACTTCCACTGATGTAAACTTGGCAGTCAAATCCCCTGGTTCCCAATCAAAGGAATAAGAAAACAACTCTCCATAAAAGACAGTGAAATACTGGAAACATCGCGAAGAGCATAAAAAGGTTTGGGCTGGAAAGGATCTTAAAGTCCATCTAGAGCCAGCCCCCGCCACCCCCCTGCATGGACAGGGACACCTCCCACTAGGTCAGGTTGCTCAGAGCCCCATCCAGCCTCTCAGTACCTAACTTGGGTGCTCCAAGTCACACTTCTTGCACTTCCCCAGCAAGCTCCACTGACTGTACATAGGATACAGAACATACACTTGCAGAAGAAGGGCTCAAGTTATTCCAGCAAAATCTTTCAGAAAATAATTTGTCCATACAAAGTAAAACAGTAGTATCTTTATTTCGTTCCATAGCAATAGGTGTATGGAGGTTTCTGACTCTCAGGCTAAGACTGAACTTCAAGCACTGAGATTGGTTTATTGTTATTTCTAAGGCGAAAATGAACAAAAGGAGACAGGCCACATTTTTCTATGAAGTTCAAGAGCTGAACTTAGAAGACTAAGGAATTGCAATAAATTAGCTTCTGCTTTCTCTTTAAAGCTGTCCAGTAAACCTGTCAGTAGCAAGCAACAATTATACACAGCTTCATGCAGCCGAGAAAAAGTGCAGTTGCTTACATTGTTTTATTAGCCACACGTCATAACTAAAATTATACATAATTCAACTGAGGGTACAGTGGTGTATAACCATTATCCAGAAAGTTATGAAATTAATGTGATGGAGCAAGAGCCTGCAGCTCCCCAGCTCTGGCAGTGTGTCAGAGCACAGCTGAGGTATTGTGCCTGCCTTCTGCAACACTGACAGGCAGCTTACTGCTGTGATGTGCAACTGCTGCCTCTTTGCCACAGAATCCGTGATGGTGAACAACTGCACATCACAGAAATGGCCCTAGATGCTACCACCTCCTCTGCCAGCAAGAGACATTATTGCTGTTAACATCTGATTCTGGATGTAAACAAAACAAAAACAAACAAACAAACAAACAAACATATCTATACTGGGGATGTTCCAGATCTGAGCATCACCAACACAGATCCAGCAATTTTGGATTCTTCAGATTTGATATTTTAAAACTGTTCATATGGAAAGTTCTGCATATGACACACCATCCATTTAACTTCGGGGTTTTTTAACAGTATTCAAAAAACACAATGAAAATCTGCAAATCAATACACATGCGTTATTTTTAGTTTGTGTGAAAAAGAATAAAGCAGCTGCACAACATTTAAAAGTAGCTCCATACAAGAGATCTTAAATGCTCCTCTCGGTGTTTCAGGAGACCCATTACTTCAAAATCACTACTCTGACCTATACAGAGACTCACAGAAGCTTTATTTTTTTTCCAAAAAGGCATATAGACTTTATTTCAAATCCAGAGACTCCCAGGAATCTCATTTAATGCCTTGACATGCATTATTACATCTTGGTCTAAACATAAACCTCATTCTCTGAAATAAGAGAAAGTATCACAGAATCCGTGTTTTTATATAATACAACAGCTAAAAACATCTCCAATTGGAGGCTTCTTGAACAAATTTTCTTCAATCCAAATTCATCACTCCACTACATTCAAAACTGTTCTGAGGCTTTTGGTAGTGAGATGGTTTGGGTGAGTTTCAACTAACAAGGGCAAACAATTTTTTCAAAAGTTTCACATTTTTAAAAGACATGTATGCCAAACCACTTCTCCCCTTTTTGATCATACTTTAATTTTCCCCTCTCTCCCCTCGATATGTTTATATACTGATAAAATGTTTCCTTATCTGTATTTTAAATACTTTTTTTCCCCATATATACATGAAGGTTTTTCCTGTACATCTCACCTGAGATGTAGGTGATTCAGTCTGCTGTCAGTGACCTGTGACACAAGGGAGCCACATGGGCTGTGCAGGGTGCAAAGCACTTTGCTGCACAAAGTCGGACCCCGCAGGGTCACGGGTGCTCACCTCTACCCAGCTTCCATCAACAGTGGGAAGGTCCATTGGGATGCAGCACCAAACTGGAGCTACACCCAAAATTTAGTTACTCTTTCTCATTTGCTGAGGTAGGTGCATTAACCATGGCGCTGACATTACAGTGATGTATCTGCACACACACTCTGAGCACCTCAGCTCTCCCGGGCATGCAGTTTCACCTACACATAATCAACATTTTTGTTTGTTTACCTTGACGCCAGCAGAAAACTCTTTTCCAGTACCCCTGATTATGCCGCTCCACTTGTTTTTTTTACCCCTCAAAACATGATCTCTGTTTATGTTAGCAGTCTGTATCCTATCAACAACGTGATCATTTTTCTTAGAAACACCTGGGTATTAAATTCAACCCAAACACTGGACTGAGGAAACAGTATATCCCAAAGGAGATACTCAGTGTTTGTTTGGCTGTGTGCACTGCCTTTTCTAAGAGCTCCTATCAAAGGCCTACAAAAACAGGCCGCATAAAAGTGTATGCATTTAACATTATTCATACCCATTTATTTAATTCTCTCTCTCTAGATATCAGAAAACATTCTCCTTATATACATCTAAATGTTTGGAGCTTATACCCAGGGCTACAGTAGTGGCCTCAGTGCCTTGTTTTAAGCTGTTAGTACTTTCCAAATAAGCTGATCCTTCTCCTCATCAATTCCAGTTTTACAGATAGGGGAAGCCTTCTATTTCCATGATTCCAAGCAGACTGACTCATCTTTAGCCGCTTTTCCATTTGGTTGCTTGCAAAATGTCCTGAAAAAGACACTTCTTCCAGTCTGGTCACCCTTCCCATTATTATATATACTACTTCACAAATTCAAAGCAGTTGTAATCTACTGAGTGCCCTCTTACTCTAACAGTATTAGAAATAACAGCAGAGTTTCTTTTCAGGTTATCCATATAACTCCAACTCACAAATTCTTTTTGCATCTCAATTTCACATGCTCTTACTTCACTTCCTCTGAAACTTTAAGCACTAGCACAACTATTTCCAGCAAGACATAAACTTCTGCACCAGTATATGACTAAACACTGAATAGGTACCTACTGTTCATTGATCTTTTGAAAAAAATCAGAGATACGCTGCAGTAGTGTCTGCAGTCTCTCTCATAACCTCTTAATTGCATGGTTTTACACATTCTTCTCTGCTAAGGATGTGCTAAGATGTTACACTGCACAGGGTTCCCCATGTTACTTTCATCTGACTCTGGCTGCATTTCATACTAATTTTTGTCTCCGGTCTCAACTTACAGAAGTTACCAGAGATCCAATGTACTGTAAAATTAAATCACTCTTCTGTAGACTCCAGTCTGAATGGTCTAATTTCCACTGATGTTCAAACTCCTAATACACCAGCAAAAGGTAGATATACTTGATTACCTTTAAGAATTCAAATATGTATTCTTTTCACACCTATGTTTTGAACTTTTACTCTTCAAAAAAGTTTTCCAGTAGAATTTCACAGGTTTCCTAGCCCATGATTAGAAAAGAAGCAAGGCTTATGCATCTAGAAATTTGCTTGGTTTTTTTGCAGCTGTATTTGCTGCTGTAGCAAAATACTACAGCTTCCTGCAAACCCAGTTCTCTTGGGCCACTAGAGCTACAGCATTATTCCCACAATACTCCTATGTGAAAATCATTTAACATCTCAAACACATCAGCAGCTGCAATCCTCAGAAATAAGACTACCTTACTTTAATTTCCAAATGACAGGTGCAAATGAAGAGGGAAACATGCTAAAGTTGACTTTGTATTTCAGCATGTATTTCATTTCTCAGTCTTCTGTGCCTCCAGTTTGCTCAGGTGTCACTCACCTGTCTGCTTGAACAGACATCATTTCTGTAGCCTCCTCTGGCACCTTCCTTCCCCTCTCAATGTCAGCAGCCTAGAAAGCTAAATCATGTAGACATACTGTTCTGGAGTCCCATTACAGACAGCTCTTTGCTCTCTATATAGGCTGAAACACTGTGGTCTTTCCCCTTCCTCGTCCTCAGTACCTGAGGGCTGGCATGCTGGGGCTTACTCCAGGCAAGCAAAACTCAAGCTGATGGAGATCTTGTGTCATCAGAGACAAGTTTGCTGTAGCACAGAAAGCAAGGCAAGGTATTTGGGTGTTCTGGTGACTTGCAGAAACCACAGGAAGTAAAATGTCATTATCAGTAATTCTGAAGGCTATTAAACATGAAGCCAGACTGCTGCTCATGCAGCCACTTGCCCTTTTTGCTTCTTCTCATCCAGGACAAGATATTTACTCTTCCTATATAAACAGAGAAGGCTGTGTTCATCCAACCACCCAATGACACTGAGGACCAAAACCATTCTCTTCTCACTTTTTTTCTCTGTTCCTAACTAAAGGCTCAGAAAATTGACCCAAACAAAAGAGTTTTCTATTTTATGAGTGAGCTGAATCACTCTGCCAAGGGCCAGAGCAAACACACGGGACTAGCAAGAAGTAGGAGTTCACATTTTGGCAACCATGGGCTACCAACAAAGCTCTGCCCACACCTTCAATTCCTTCTCCTGGCTAGAATCCCAAACTTGGCATTTTATGAAAATACATGTATTTTTAAGGTAACCTCTTTGAGCTTAAACCATATAAACTATTCAACTTAACTATAAAATATGCTAAATGGCAGCTAAAAAAAACAGTAACATGACAAAACACATTTTAAAGTGTAAGCTGAGACTTCAATAAAAATACATGAGGTTCCATCTCTTTCTGATAATAAAGTTGCTAACCTTGGTCCTTCTTCCCTGCTGCTTTCAGTGGGATATTAATGCGGTTTCACATGCTGTTTTTCCCTTGGTATATAATTTGCTACAGTTAAAAATGCATCTGCCCTGGCAGTAAGCAGAGATAGGAGCATGGAGCTATTGTAAGGAGAGTTACCAGCAGGGAGCAAAACACAGACACAGTCCTTAGCAAAATGCAAGCTGTAAAGCCCTACACATACCACACAATTACCGGCCGGTGGCACCCAGCTGAGAAGCCAGTATATGACACTTCTTTGTAAATTTAAACCACTTGTTACGTATGACAGCATGTTGCTTTAAGATCTCGCACGAGCTGAAACCAAGGCACACCCTGACCCATGGAGACTGCACCAGGTTTCACTGCTCACCACTTGCCACGCACTGTACTCAAATGAAAAGTTACTTTGCAAAATCTGCCAGTCACTTACATGCTTTAAAATCATGTATGAAGAAAATCAAAACAGAAAAACAGTGACTGGCTTCAAACCAGTGTCTTAGTACCTACCATGCACAGGCTGTTGAGAACATCGATGCTGCACAACCGGTGCTTCAGCACTGCTTGCCTACAGCACAGGCAAATGACACCTTCTGAAGCTACAACCACCTTCAGCACTTCACAGAGGTCTCAGACAGGAGAGTCTCTCCTCCCACAGTGAGATGCACTGGAAGGGCTGCCAGCCTGTTCAGTGCAAGGGCAGGCAGGTCAACTTTGATCAGCTTCAAGCAGCAACTGCAAGCCTGCTGGTTTACCTTGCACAAATGCCAGTGAGGGGGTTACCATGGCTCTGTTGTAGCAATAGCTCCAAGAAGTGTAGTAACATTATCTTAAAATATTACAGCTGTTCCTAGAGCAACTGCCTACCCTGGGGCAGAAGGAACATCTCCCTGCCTAGAGCAGCACAAAGAGAAGGCAGACAAGAAGGAGGGAGCATGAATGTACACAGCCATCTTCCCAAGGATGAGTTAAACTCTCCTCAGACCATCACTGGCTGGACATGCAATATCCATCAGCTCCACAATGCAACCACCACATAACTTCATTTTCATTCATAGGAAGGAAAAAGCATTTCTGAGTATCTGGCTCCTAGAAGGACCCACATCTTTGCCAATAGCTTTCCCAGCTCTTCTCAGGATGTATAGTTTTAATACCTTTATTAATTATGGTGTGTGGGTCCACAACATTGAACAGTCACTGCCACTGAAACCTCAAGTCCTCTTTTCAAAGCTGTAAGGTAACAGATGAGTATCTCACATGTCACAACATGGAGAGGAAAAGTAGAAGAGGAGGACCCTGTCTGGAAGCAGTGACAGGCTGGAACATCATGCTGCTGGTCTCCTTTGTAAGAGTAACACTTAATGCTGCTCTAACTTTTTTCTTCTTCTTCTTTTACAGTATATAATGGTTTAACTGAATTGCAGCTAATTAGTCAAATAAAGATTGTGCTATTCCTTCCCACTCACTGCCTGCTCTAGTTAGGCTTTTAAACTCTGCTAAGGACAAACTCCATACTCAGAGGTTGGTAGGATGCTTTAAAGAGCTCCCTTGCAGGTTTCAGACTGGCACACACGTCAGTGTACCTACAGGCTGATGAGACAACCAACTGGTATCAGACACAAATCCAGCCATCTACTTGGAAAGCCACCCAGCTGCTCCTGCCCAGCCTTTTGAAACACCTGTACTGTAAACAAACAAATAAAAAAAACCACCAAAAATCTAAATAATTTGGGTTCAGAGAGCATCAGACAGCTGTGGCAGTTTCCAGCACACACTCTCCTCCTGTAAAAAAGGGTCAATGTTTTTGGAGAGAAGACTTGTAAGCTTAGTGGCTAGTTTAGATGAAATGCATCTCAGATTTACTAGCAAAATATCTTCTGAATTTCATTGCAAGTTTCCTGTTGGAATCAAATAGTCAAAGACTGACCATCAGTAATACTGCTGGCTGCAAGATTATTCCAATGGCAAGTTGAAATAATGAACATTATCACAAAAGAAAAGTAGACTTACAGGAGCCACAATCATTTAGGAAACCAAGAATTAGTCTCAAGAGGGAAGAGGAGAAAACAAGGATGAAGAAACATATCTGCTCATTAATCTTACAGGAATCACATGGGATGAGAAAATTGAGGAGGAAATTTCTCTGAGTATGTGTCAAAAAAGTGATGGTGGAAATAATTTGTATGATGGATAATGAAATTATAGTCTTTCCTTCTGGTAAGAGGAAGTTCTGAAAGAATCAGAGTAAAGATAACAGACCTCAGAAGTCAAATTCAGGGAATTGGTGGAAAGGGTTTCTAAACAAATTCAGGGAATTTGTGGGAAGAGTTCCTTCAAAAAACAGATAACCTGAAGAACAGATCGCAAGACAAACCATCGGCAATTCAGGCTATATTAAAAAACCACAATGACAAATACCAGTGGAAGACAGACAGGAAATAATAACTGTGGCTGTATCAAATTCCTCACTGATCCACCTTTTTGGTGCAACAACAAAAAGAAGAAAGTAAAGCCACAAAACAGTATTAAGAAACAAGACAACCCTGCAGATGACAAATGCAGAAAGGCTGAGTGACAAATGCATTTCAATGAGCAAGGACACTAATGAGCCAGCAAGAATAAAGCCTGTGCCATCGATGAACTGGAGTTCCACTACTCTATGCAAGAAGTTGTGCCAAGCAAAGAGTAGGCATAGAAGTCCTAAGTCTCTGTGCATGGTTTGTTTCTACCCCCACATAATGGGAAGAAAGGAGTACTACCTAAACACATCAGGAATACATACAGCAGGAGGAAACAGCAGCTTAGAGGGCAGCACAGTAAGAAAGCTGTACTACAGGGGAGAGGGTGGGAGCACATTCCCTCTAGAGTGCTATGAAATGAGCCAAAATATTTTCTGAACTTAGAAGAACTTAAGGGAGTTCAGTCTCTTGAAAACAAAACAAACAAACAAACAAACAAACAAAAAAAAAAAAAAAAAAAGGGGGGGGGGCAGGGATTTAGACACTGCTCAGAAATAATCCTTACCACCACAAAGTTTCACTTTTTTGGAGCCATGAATGTGGCATTGGCTCCATTTCCCAGTAACAGATCACATGAATTCTAAATCAGCAAATTCCAAATCCCTTCTCTGACAGAACTGGCACTGCTAGAAAGTGGAAAGCAAACCTTAACCTCAGTGCAAATCATCCCGGCCTCAGTCAAGAGAAGACAGTGTCTGTCCTGCCCCACACATGGCAGTTGTGAGGCCCTTTCAATGTTGGCAGAGGCAGTGACCAATGTGCTGGTACCAGGAGGTGTCCGTGTGGCTCTCAGCATGGAGTCAGCAGAATGTTCATTACTTCTGCAGTGACACTGCTCTGTTAAAGCTGGGGCCTCTACTCCTGAATGCCATGACAATGCAGGTACAGGGGATAAAATTAAGCTTTTTCTAAAGAATTTCCCTCACTTCAGAATGGCTTTCCTGTGTTTATTCTGGGGAATGGGTCACTGCCTTTGCTTTGCAATTCCACAGCTACAGATGACACAATGTCAACTTTGACATTAACTTTTATGAGGTTCCTTCATTCATGGGTTAGTAAAACTGCCACCTTAGACTTCTAGACAGCAAACTTTGACCTGCTCAGAAGACTGACTGACAAAGTCCCTTGGGAGGCTGCCTTGAAGGATAAAGGAGTCCAGGAAGGCTGGACATACTTCAAGTGAAGTCTTCAAGGCATAGGAGTAAGCAGTCTCCGTGTGCTGAAAAACCAGTAAGCAGGGTAGGAGACCAGCTTGGCTAAATATGGACCTTCGGCTGGACCTTAGAACAAAAGGAGAGTCTATGACTCTGGAAGAGTTGAGAGGTCACTCATGAAGTGTATAAAGATGAAGTGCACCTATGCAGAGCGAAAATGAGGAGAGCCAAAGCACAGCTAGAGCTCAAACTAGCTACAGCTGTTACAGATAATAAAAAAAAGGCTCTAAGTATGTTAACAGCAAATGGAGGATTAGGGAAAATCTCCATCCTTTATTGGATGCAAAGGGGATCTTAGTAACAAGGGATGAGGAACAGGCTGAGGTGCTCAATACCAACTTTGCCTCAGTCTTTAGCAGTGGAACTAGCTGCTCCATGGATACCCAGCCACATGAGCTAGGAGACAGGGAGGGGATGCAGAACAAGGTCATCATTATTAAAACAGCAAGCAGTCAGAGACCTACTACACCAATTAGATGCACACAAGTCTACGGGACCAGATGGGTTACATCCACGGGTGCTGAAAGAGTTGGCAG